GTTATTGAAAAAAAATTATATGGGGAAATCACGAAAATTTCATTGTTAAGATACTTAACAACCCCCCTTTTTTATTGTAAATTTTCCATTTACCATGAAATTTACTGTTTTGTACAACATAAATCAAGGTAAATTTATTGTAGACGTAACAATATAAATCATTGTTAAGACAATAATTTTCGTCTTATTGTTACATTGTTTTTTATTGTATTTTTGTTGTTATTTTTTTTCGGATACTTGACTGTTACCGTGCAAGCGTATGGTTTGTTTTCGTTTTGTTGTTTATTTTTACTTTAGAATGACAGTTCTTACAGCAAACAAAAAATTTCTCACAGCTAACAAAAAATTTCATCTCCCTAACACACGCAAATCGCACCAATACGAACCCGCCTGGAGAGGACTATAGTCAATTCCCTTGCGTTTGACGTTTACACACTACCGCCATCTGTTCAGCGGACTACCCACCACAGTGTACTCAACAGATGGCGGTAATGTTTTAGCGACGATGTTTTACATTGAGAAACATTCAATGTGTTATGTCTGTTTGTCTGTGAATTAATCATTCTCACATCTAATTGAATTAGCTAGAGTTACTGCTGGGAGAGCTGGTAGGTTTTCAGATTCAAGCTTTTATTATTTATTTAGCTGCCCATATGGTGTAGGATAGCTCAGATGGCAAGGCAAGCGGCTGGTGATCGGAAGGTCATGGTTCGAATCCCATCTAACGACATGTGTGTATGTATGTCTGTAATCAATTTTCTAGAATCTATGTGGTGGGTGCGTGCTTAGACAGATATAATGACACAACAATCCCTAACGAGAATAACCCTGCTCTGCACCGTTTTTATTTTCGGATAAATTATCCCGTAATTTAATAATCCTTTAATAAATGTATAATAGTGCCTAATGAAACATTATTTCACATGATAATCAAGCGTCTGTAAGGTGTATATCTTTATATCATCGCTGTTTAAGTAGTAAGATGTCTAATAACCACTGAATAATCAAAAATTTGATCGAATAAGCTGTGTTAAAATTTTTGTAAGTCGAAGAAAAGCTTCTCGACATACCTTATTCAACACCAAATACTTCGATGTTGTAGTTGAATAATTCTCCAGATTTGTGTGAACAAAGCCTGAACAGAAGTTAATATTTAAAATAGTACAAGTTAATAATAATAATGCATGAAGTATGAAGAGATATAAAATCGTCAAGAAGTCGTTTCTTCAATAGGCAATTGTTTGTTGGGAAGTAAATGTTAGGTTAAAGTTATGTTAAAATTGATTTTTGGTCTCTATTTGTGACCCAAATTCCAAAAATACCCATATTTATGGACTTTTGAAATTATTTTTCACTTTTTGTGAAACTGGAAACCGTTACATTTGATTTCAAAATGGCATCGGATATCGATTTTCTCTAGACGACAACCTCCAAAAACCTTCCAAAAAATCCCATGTTGATTGATATTTGACAGTAATTCCCACTTTTTCTAAAACCTGAAGCCACCTCTTCTTGGATCTCGGAATTCAAAATGGCGTCGAATGCCAACATTTGAATTCCGACAAACAACATTTGGATGGCAAAATTTTATTTCACGTTACCTTGTATAAATACATCTAAATCGCAATGTTTTCTAATGTTTGATGCCAGGAATATATTTTATTTCGATGCTGATGTAGACATCAAACGTTAGGCAAATGTAAATTTTTATTCGGGTTCCCTCGGGACACCTTTGCCGGATGTGGCCAAAGTGGTTCTTGGAACTAGATTTGAGTTCCATTGAACCAGTCGTTGAATTCTCATGTAATTTGATGTGTCGCATGATGGGTTTGGCCCTAATCAGATGTTTGCCTCTTCCCCCGGGACACCCAGAATATGTCCGGATGTGGCCAAAGTGGTTCTTGGAACTAGATTTGAGTTCTTTTGAACCAGAAATTGAATTCTCATGTATTTTGATGTGTTGCATGATGGGTTTTACCCTAATCAGATGTTGGCTTCTTCCCCCGGGACACCCGAAATGTATCCGGGCGTGGCCAAAGTGGTTCTCGGAACTAGATTTGAGTTCCATTGAACTAGTCTTTGAATTCTCGTGTATTTTGATGTGTTACATCATGGGGTTGACTTAGTTTGTAAGATATTATTGTTAGGTTAAGATCTATTTAATAAAAAAAAAACATATGTTAGTTATAAGATTAAGATATATAAAGTTTATTGATGAAGTCATGTTCATGCTTCAACTGTTTTCATTTTTATTAATTTAAAACCCATTGAAAAAGAAATTGGTGGTGAACAACCGTGAGTGCGCCAGGGCGCTTGTGGGCGGACAAAATGGTTGAAACGATCAGTTTTTTGACAGGTATCGTTTTTGCCTCAGGCGCCCAAATGTTGCAAATATGGCGCTGGCGACCATATTTGGACCAAGTGGCGCCGCGAGGTTCGAGCGCCCAAGTCCGCCCAAGTCCACCCGTCCGCCGAGCGGTCCGGGGGCGAGCCGTGGGCGACTAGCCCGCAGTATGTGGGAAGGCTCTGAACCATTTGGTGGATTATTTTTAACTTTTGGTTAAAATTTGACAGATGGAAAATTCAGTGTCAACATTTCAAAGGGGCGTAATTGCTTTTGTAAACAATGGCTTCAGACGTCGATTTCTCGAAAATAAATGCTCCCTCCTCCAAGTTAACAATGCTAGCTAGTAGAGGAAACATTCATCTACTTGTTAGTGTCATAAATTTTTATGAGTGAGCTTTTATTCGCGAGAAATCGATGACTAAAGCCATTGTTTACAAATGCAATTACGCCCCTTTGAAATGTTGGACCATCCATGGACCTTACTGACTACCATAACCATTACCATTAAAATTCTCAAACCATAAGTAAAAAGGTTCAAAAAATATAGTTTTCTTTCCGAAAATGTATGGAGAAAACAAGAATTTTGAATGGTAATGGTTCTTAACAACCCATTATTTGTTAGGTTCAGTTCCAAAAAACCATAATACATAAGGTTAAAACTTTATCGCACAAACGTTTATGTAAAGTTCCATAACCATTTCAGTTAAAGTTTAGCAGGGATTATAAACAATTTTTAACCATTTTCGGTAAGGTCAAGTTATGGTTCGCGTTTAAGCGGGTATCGATTGACCCTGCTATCCGAGCGTGGTTACTTCAATGAGGTGGATTACCGAGGTGAAGCAATCGCTTAAGTTGTGTGAGTAAAACCCCTGTACGATACCGATGTCAATCATACAAGGTCTGGAACAACAGGCAGCTTGCTAGTATTAGAAGCAAAAATGTTGTAAACATTGCTGAGCAAGCGAATGCCGATGTCACGGCAGCACAACATTCCATACTGCGATAAGCAGACGTGTCGTCACAGAAAACAGCTGTTTCGTGTAAAAAGATAAACATTGCGATGAAATACGACCACCACTAGACATTTTCACATTTCACTAATACCAATAAGCCAGTTGGGCCAGACCTTGTATAATTGACATCGGTACGATACAAGCAATAAGTGGCGTCACTAATTGCGTTTACGTTGAATTTTTGGTTTACTAAACAACAATATTTTACGATCTGTTAAATTTTGACAACCTTGGCTAAGGCGAGTTCTTCTCAAAAACCGGTCGATCGATAGCACAGCAATCACGTTTATATAAGGTCTGGGCCAAAGGGCTTATTGGTGTTAGTGAAATGTGCAAATGGTTAGTGGTGTTCGTATTATATTGCAATGTTAATCTTTTTACACGAAACAGCTGTTGGCAGTGACGTATTTCTATCTTCTGTTCTCAGTATGTTGGCAGTGACGTATATCTAGCTGTTCGCAGATGTTCAGCAATGTTTACAACATTTTTGCTTCTAACACCAGCAAGCTGCTTGTTGGCCCAGACCTTATGTATCTAAGTTCGAGTGGTAGTAACGTCATTTTAACTGCTCGAATGAAATTAGGTACTGCAGCGTGACGTCACAAATGAAGTCAGTGTTAATCGGCTGAACCTTTTTGACAGTTCAGTGGTACTGTTTACAGACACTTAGTCGTTTTTTCAAAAAAAATATATTTTAAAATTTCCGAATTTTAACTTGAAAATTGTCGAGGAACAGCGCGGTTAAAGGATGTTGCTCGTGGACAATGCAAAAGTGTGGTTTACATCTCACTGCAATCTGAAAAAAATATCCAGAAAATCTACCCAAAAAAAAATCGACTAAGTCCACGTAAGCAGTACCACTGAACTGTCATCAGATTGAGGTTAACCCCGACGGTGCAAAACCTAATGGTTAACTGCCAGTTTATCCTCATATGAATTACTGCTTTGTTTATGTTTACATTCAGCACCAATAACACCAGATCACTCACACACGCTAGATTCCTAGCTGTCAGTTCCACTGATAAACGCCCTAATAAAAATTGTATGGTTAATTTGCTTAACGACGTGTTCTGGGTATCATCCAAACCATTTGTGGAATAGTTCAATGATTTGGGTTATCGTTCGTTTATGGTTATTTTTTATTAGGGCGTCTCTTGGATCACCTTATTAGCAGAATTTGAAATATTGATTACGACACGTTTCAAGCTGAAGAACAGAAGGAAAGTGTATCGTTCTGGAGCATAGCCCCCCCCCCCCCTGCTCACAAAGGTTTGAAGTATCGGGAAAGCATTCTTAAAACGCTGTACAGACTGGAGAGTTATAACATGTTATAACGGTTGTCAAATAATTGCAACACAGAAACCACCAACAAGATAGCGCTATAACATGTTATAACTCTGTAGTCTGAACGTACTATAAAACGCCGGCCAGACTGGCGAGTTATAACATGTTATAACGGTTGTCAAATAATTGCAACACAGAAAGCACCATCAAGATAGCGCTATAACATGTTATAACTCTGTAGTCTGAACGTACTATAAGACGGCCTACCAATAACTACCGATAAAAGTTTTGAGAAGCTACCGAGATAATGAAAAAAATAATCTGGCCACCCTGGAGCGGAGTGTCATTCATTTTTTTATTGCAATCCCCAACCCAACTCAAACCAGCTGGATGCATTTAAATGTTCAGCCGTTTATCGTGAAATATTTATAAAATAGTTTTGGGTAGTGTACTGTAGAGGCAATTCTATTGCCAAAAGATCCGAATATGGACACATCGTGTGATTTGGTGTCGGACGAGAGCAGCTATGATCTTTTCAAGCAGGACAGCTTGTTTGCTGAGAGTTTTCCTCTTATGAAGGAGATCCGCAGACAAGGGAAACTCTGCGATGTTACTCTCAAGGTAAGCTCAGTAGGTGATCCGATTTTTACTGATATACTACTAAAAGAATCTGCGATTGCTCTGCGCACAGGTTGATAATCATTCCTTCTCCGCACATCGGATCGTCTTGGCGGCCACAATTCCCTATTTCTATGCTATGTTTACACACAACATGGCTGAAAGTAGGATCAAAGAAATAACCATGAAGGAAATCGAGCCTCAGTAAGTATTCAGATTCAGAATATTTTCCAACCCGGTAAATTCCTAGACCGGACCAGAAATCGAAACCCAGCCACCTCCAGCATGATCTTGCTTAAGGTGATACTCTAAGGAAGCCTTAGCGTGAAACTTCAAAGGTACAAATGTCAGCTTCCACAAAACATACAAATTTGAAATTGCTACTCCCTGTTTGTAGTAGCTGCGCCTTTACCGGTTGAGCTAAGGGAGGCCCTATACGGAATGCATATGAAACACGAATTAAAATTCTAATAACGGCTTTGGCAATACATTATTCTATTATCGTTAGGGGGTAAACAACGACCTTGAGATCTCAATTTTGGCACGTGGATAAATTGTGTTTCAGAGCATCTATTGGCCAAATTTGAGTGCTCTAGGACTTTGTTTACCCCCTGACGATAATAGGTTTAGGTATTGCCGAAGCCGACATTTCCCCTACCTGATCTATTTTATACCTTTTTTTTGCAGTGCTTTAGAGAGTTTGATAAATTTTGCTTATAGCGGAGTGGTTAAAATCGACAATCAAAACGTACAAGGACTAATGGTTGGCGCTTCATTTTTACAACTGAACAAAGTTCGGGATGCTTGCGCGGAATTCTTAAAAAACAGGTAACGTATTTAAAGTATTGTAACATTTGGTTGAGAAAAGATAGTTTTCAGGCTACATATGACCGTTAGTAAGTTTATTAAGATTTGGAGTTTATAACATATTCCAAATTAGTGGAAGTTTTAAGCAGGAAACTTTAGTCAAAACGCGAAATCCAACGTGAACAATTACGGGTGTCGCTACACGGTGATAAGGAAGTGATACTCAGAATAAGAGCCGTGATTGCCGTACAAATCAAATGGGAATCACTTCACCGTGACGACAAGTGACAAGTTTTCACAATGAAATGACATCCGTAATAAGGCCCTGTGTAACCTATGTGCCTATTACCTATTACAGGTATACCTCGATGTAACGTAACAGTCACTTTTGACTTGCATAGTCGATTTCCCCCAAATTATCATTCAAACAAGCAAAGTAATATCACCATCGGACAGATGAGATAATCCCCCATTTATTGGTAATATTAATATGTTTGATTCAATTGTTATTAGCAAAATATTGACGATGGAAGTCAACAGTGACAGTTACGTTATATCGAAGTATACCTGTATTGATAAACAATATCCTAACAACTACAGATTTCTACATAATTATCAAGTTAATGTCAAAAGTTTGAGGAATTTACTTGTCACCATAAGGCTTAGCCATTGCCTTTCATGATATGAGACAAAATATGATTCATGTCCTGTCTCAACATATTTTTCTTTTTCCAGGTTTCATCCACAAAACGTACTTGGCATTCGCCACTTTGCTGACACGCTTGGTTGCACACAGCTGGTGACCTCAGCTGATCGCTATATACATCAGTATTTCTCGAAGGTCGCTTTTTCCGACGAGTTCCTAGCGCTGAATTTTGATGAGCTGATAGACATAGTTCGCCGCGACGAGCTGAATGTGCCGACGGAGGAACGTATCTTTGACGCCTGCATGAAATGGGTTAAATTTGATCAGCAGAATCGCTCGGGATTCTTGCCAAATATTTTGGCTAACATCCGGCTTCCCCTTCTATCACCGCAGTTCTTGGCCGATAATGTAGCAACAGAAGAGTTGATTCGTACATCACACAAGTGCCGGGATTTGCTCGATGAGGCTCGAGACTTTCATCTGATGCCCGAACGTAGGGCACTTGTTTCCGCTTCCCGTACTAGACCGCGATGCTGTGATTATGTGGTGGGGCAAATTTATGCAGTTGGAGGTACCTCTACCTTTTTTGTTTTAAAAGCGGACCTACGCAAATCCTGCTTTACCTTGATAGTGAAACTTATTAAAAAATAATCCTTTTTTTCTAGGATTAACCAAAAACGGAGAGTCTGTCAGCACTGTGGAAATATACGATCCCGTTACAAAAGAATGGAAAATGGGTGAAGCAATGTCAATGCTGCGGTCCAGGGTAGGAGTAGCTGTGATGGAAGGGAAGTTATACGCTTTTGGTGGATTTAATGGAACAGAACGGTTTGTTTCCTCTATCTTTTTTTTTTAATTTAATTTCATACTTTCACGTTTTCTCATGAATTAGGTTATCGACTGTCGAGGTGTACGATCCTGTGCAGAAAAAGTGGAGTCAAGGTAAAAATGTTTCCTCACCTGTCACAGTGGTACAACACAATAATACTTCATGTCCATGAATTTTAGGAAAACCTATGAGATGCAAACGTAGTGCTGTTGGTGTCGCAGCTTTGGATGATCTAGTATATGTTTGTGGTGGATACGATGGGGTCACCAGCTTAAGCACGGTATTGGAATGATATAGGTACTGGTTTGAAAATGGATATATTTATGCATATTTTTTTTTTGGTTTAAGGTTGAATGCTATTCGCCAAAGACTGATTCGTGGACAACTGTGGCTCCAATGATGAAGTATCGATCTGCAGGTAAGTAGGCATAACATTATAAAAAGAAATCGTAGGGGCTGTTTACTGCGCCCTTGGCAAACTATGAAATTGAAGTTTCTTTCCTCCAAGGTTGCAAATACTCATTTCAGCTAAAACATTTTTATTTAATTATGAAATAATTAGATGCTATGATCATATTTTGAATTGGTAAGATACAAGAAGAGGATGCAAAGAATGTGTTTGACATATTAAACCTGTTTATTTCACTTCATGAGAGTCACAATCAGCGGTTTTTCACACACTCACTCACTCAATCAGCGATCAGCAAATCGCTGATTGTGACTCATAGAAAGCAAAATTTACATGTTTTATGTTTCAAACGCATACTTTGTAACCTCTTCTTGTAAGTTACAAGTAAAACATGTCATCATACCATCTTTTCGTTTTATTATTCAGAAAAACATTATTTTAGCTGAAATGAGTATTTGCAACCTTGCTTACCTCATTGATTAAATCAAGCACCAGGTCTAAATAGAGGAGGGCAATTTATTAGGAAGAAATTTAAAAACTTGATAAAAACCAAAGGATTACTTAAAATTTGGGAATTGTGGAGAACTCACTTAACATTTTACAATAGGTTTAATTTTCAGCATAAGGTTGTTGCATATTATCTATTTCCCAACCTTTTTGCCAACTTGCAAAAACTCTTGAGACAAAAAAGTCATTTCGTGAAACGACTACAAATAGGACAAATTTCAGAGAATTTGTTTTATTGTTGTTCAAGAAATAGTAGTGTAATTCGAAAAAAATTCATTTTTGGATTCTAGAATCTTGGAAGATATATTCTACATAAGTCTAGAATTTTGATCATTCTACCAAGATCAGTTCAGTTTGCAATTTGTTAAACTTCTCTATTTTTTTATATTCTGCGGTCTTCAATATTTTACCACAGAAAACAGACATAACGCTTAGAAGAAAATTCTTCAAAAAATATCGCAATTTTGCATGCGCACTAGCACCATCTATCATCCACATTCCCAAGCATTGATGTGCAACTAGAGCATCCCTCGTTCATGCCATTTTTTCACCAGTTGCTTTTCCCTCGTTCTGTCAACGCGTCAGCTGTGCGTTGAATAAAAACAAAACAGATGGAAGTCAGTGATGTCGGTTCTACTAAATTTTCCGTAGATCTATAGAATTGATTGAATTCTGCAGAAATACGGATCCGTAGGAAAAGTTCACAGAAGCTAATACTTTTTTAGGGATTTGTTTTGTTTGTTTAGTGTGCTTTTTCTTTTGCTGGAAAGAAGTTTTTAAACGAGGTAATACATCGCTAATTAGTGCCCTTTCTACCACCGCTCATCACTTTAATATGTGTACAGCAAAAAAATATAATATTTATCAATCAATGAAATTCATGGTGAAGTATTGAACATCAATTACTGGTAAAAGGTGTAAAAGTTGATAGAATATTACAGTCATCAACATGATTTGTTCTCGAATTCTGTGTTAATCGTGCAGCGTAGGATTAGGAACGGAATGACTAATGTTCAGTACTTTCGATGTAATATTCAACAACTTTTATTTCTGTATTCGTCAGATGTGGTATGTGTCTCCAGTGTGATGCCTTGACCACATATCATTTTCAAGAGCTGACATCTACTAACTAGACGTGAAAAAGAACTGGCATCACTGATAAGTTCGAAATTTGGTGGCTTGCTCAGGCATACCAAAAGTACCGCCTCATGACAGTATTCCAACGGCTGTCGCTTTCTTTTTCCTACGACAGCCTTGAGAATGAGCTATAAGCGACAGCCCAAAGTGAGGCTGTTATACGACATGCAACGTTGCCGTCTTGTGCAGTACACGACAGCTCGTTCTTAGTCATGTATTTTGTTCGTTCGGCTATGACAGCCTCGGATGGTCATTCGTAACGTTCCTCGTACATACAACAAGCAGTCCGTCAAACTGCCGATTCATTGCTACTGTCTTTGAAATTTTGTTTGTATGTCGTAAGACTGCTACTACACTACCAGTGTGGCACCGGAACTCGTTCGGTTGCTATCACGTTCGTGCTGCCAATTGCAAAATTTTCATCCGATGTTTTTTAAAAACGCGCGGTCTCCGGCGAAAAATATAAGCCTACCCGACACCAACCTGACTTCTACCAAACCTAAACCCGATGCTGGCTTGACATTGACCCGACATAAACACAGAATTGACCCGACATCGACCCGACATTTGGTCGACGTCGACCAAAAATTGACCTTACATTGATCCGACATATCTGTTCGGGATCATTCTTCTGGGTTTCTTCCATACTCCACTGCCGTATATCAATTGTATATAATGTCTTGTGACAGCCTTTTCGTGACAGCCACTTGGGTAAGCTGAGGGATGTCGTCGGTTTGTGAAGGCTGTTATTTTTTTTTTCTTTGGTTTGTTTTTTCCGTCGATCTTGTTTTCCGTGCTGAGCACCAATGCTACCGACGTGCCAGGAAGGCAGCTCCCACACCTGGACCCTACCTATCGACCCATCAACTCATGAACCGGGGACCAACGGCTTTACTTCCCTTCCGAAGGAAGGCGTGATCAGAGATGTTATGCCTCAGAACATCCCGGCGGCGCCGACGGGGCTGTTATGACGACAGAAACATTAAGAACCTGGTTATAAAGAAATGTATAACTACAGCCCATTCGTTTCACTACGTTCCAAGCACGATGATTTTAGCAAAGCGGGTATAGATGCGACTGTTCTAATACAGCTTTCATTCGTTCGTGCGTGTGCTGTTGCCAATACACTTCGAATTCGGATCTGAACGTACGGTAGCAAGCGGTAGTAAAGCACACAAAGCAACAGTCAATTCATGTATAAACCAACTGTCGCGAGGAGGCTGTACTATTTGGAAGCCTGGGCTTGCTCAATGCTTCAGTGGCGCCACCATGACAAATGCAAGCACATTCCCAACTAAAACATTATTTGCGATGAATGTGATTGTGAGTGTTATGTCTGTTTGTCTGTGATTTTACTAAGTGCCAAAATTCTGGAATTTGTGTTAGGTCCGAGAACTTTACTTTTTTTCTTCTGGGATCTTGCAATTGTTTCTGTATCCAGGATCTGCAATTCTAGACCCTCCCCATGGCCATGGAGGTTGACGGTACTGAAGCAAAGGGTTATGTTTAATATCTTTATATTTGCAACGATGGTGATTTTCCATAGTGACACATATCACCTTCATAATGCTTCAGTATGCCTCAAACGATTAATTCTTGATTGTTAATAGAACTTTCTTGATGAAATCGGCTGCTTCATGCAGACTGAGCAATCCTGATTATAGTATCAGATTTTTTCTGTATAGAGAGGAACTGGGAGGGCTTATTAGAAACTTCTCACCAATAAAAGTAATGATCTTCTAGTAAATTTTGCATATCATTTTATTAAAATTTTATTTTATTTTAGCATACTATTTTTATTAAAGTCAATTAGCATTAGCATACGATACAAGAGATTTAATTTATTTTACTTGTAATAACCCCCTGTCCAAGAATGAGGGGGATGATTTGTCAAGTTTTATTTTTTTGCATTTGATTTTGTTTTTATCAAAGTTATTTATATCAGAAATATAATATTAGCATATAATTTTCATTTTAAGTTTGCTTTTGTAAATTTAAGATAAATACTTTACCTCAATTGAAACATTGAGTTGTATAAACTAGACGAATCATACCTCTAACTTAGTAGTGGTTACAGTGTCGCATGATCTAAGATTAACTGCCTGCCACTAGTGTTGGAGGGGCCGGCAGCTACTGGGCTGATTACGGATCAAAACTAACATAACTCTAACACTAAAATGATCCCGAAACTAACACTCATTCATTGCACTTTAAGTTATAAAGTAGTTTTATTTTCCTACTAATCTATCAATGCTTCTTTCTATTATTTTTATACTTTTTTATACTTTTCTAATAATCTGCCTACGTTTCTCTTTCTTTGTTTTCTACTTTATCTTTATTTCCTTTTTATTTGTCTGCTCTTCTTTCTTTCTTCTCTTCTTTTGTTTTAATATAACTAATACTAATACCTCCCTGTTTTCTCTCTAATTTGTCGCCTATATCCCACTATCACGACGAGAGATGCGCTACCCTACATGGTACACGATAAATGATGAATATTCTTCGAACATACACACTAAGATTTTGGTTCCGTGTTCGGTAAATTTTACCGAAATCAGAACAGCTGAACGTTCGGTAAAACTTTGACGTTCATTTTAAAGGCTATTGAATTTGAAAATAATTTGAAAACATGTCCAACCTTATTTCAATGATCAAATTTTGTCATTTTAGTAGGGATTTAGTTTTAAAGTAGCTGAAAAACTATTGAATTGAATTGCATAAATTTTACCGAACTGTTCAGCTGTTCACATTTCGGTAAAAATTACCGAACTCGGCGATAATTTCTAAGTGTGAACAGGAATGGCAACATCTCTAACAGATAAGTATATCAAATTAAAATAAGTACCATATTAATACCGACCGATTAATACTGATTTAACATTAAAATGTGAAGGCAAAACTATTTATTTTATTAGCAGACAGGAATTTTCATTTAAATAATTTTATATTGTTACATTATTGTTACATTTTTTTGTGGATTTCTTTTGAACGTAGAGTTTGAAATGTATGGTTTCTTATCTGATTTTTTTAAATTTACGTAGGTAGTTCATTATTTTTTTTGTATAGTTATTAGATACTTCAACCTTTACCTTTTACCTTATCACTTAACCTTTTTTTTATTTTTTTTGTTCTCTATTGTATTTGGATTCTATGTTTACGGTTTTTATTTGTGCTGCGTTTTGTTTGTAATTTTCTGAGTTTGTGTTAGTGCCTTAATTCACTCATAAATGCATTTTTTACACAGATTTTGAAATTTTTGCGGTTTTATTGAATTTGAATGATTTTTTTTGCACGGCACAAGTCGTTGAGTAGGAATCAAATTCGAATTACTTTCAATATTTTTGATTTTTCTTGATAAGTGATGT